AAACCTGCAGCCGAGTATCCAGAGTCCTTAGTCCGGAGGCGTGCGTCCAACAACAAGAACAACAACAACAGCAATAACAACAACAACAACAACAACAACAACAACAACAGCAACAACCACAACGACAACGACAACGACAACGACAACGACAACGACAACGACGACACCAACAACAACAACAGCAACAGCAACAACAACAACAACAACAGCAACAGCAACAACAACAACAACAACAGCAGGGTTTTCAAGTTTAGGGCTTTTAGGTGCTTTCGGGCTTCTAAAACCTAAACCCCAAAAACTTCCCTAAACTCTAAACCCTAAACCCCAAAAAACTTTAGGGTTTTGGGGTTAGGGCTTAGAGGGCTTCGGATTTCAGGGCGTAGGGGTTTGGTGCTTCCTCCCTCTGCAGGGGTTTAAGGCTTAGGGCATTGGGCTTTGTGGCATACTTTATGGTTTCGGGGTTTAGGAGTTTAGGGTTCTTGGGCCATCGGGATGTTTAAGACCAGGCCGAAAGGGGTGGGCGCAGGGTTTACTTTCTCGTAAACGCAAAAGCCCCTTCACACTCCATTGCAGCTATTATGAACTCCAACCGACCTGATATCCATAGAGTCCTCTACGAATCCTCGGCCACCGTTGCCGGGAGCAGTGACTCTAAAGGTATCGAAACCTGAGACACTCCGGGCAGCCCGATCAAAAATCATGAAGTCTCACCACAGAAGCCTTGATAGTTAGGGTTTAGGGCTTAGGGTATATAACACCATTATGGAGTTGGGTCCCTAAAACCCTGATACGGATGGTCTTTTTTGACCTAACTCCGTGATGGTACTCTACATATGGAGTTAGGTCCCTAACACCCTGATAAGGATTGTCTTTTGCGACCTAACTCCATAGTGGTACTATATATATATACACATTATTTTATTGTATCATGTTGTATTATATTGTATTATGTTTTCTTTTCTCATATTTTATTTTATTCTCTCACATTCTAGTATATTATATTACATTAGACTAGATTAGGTCAGATTAGATTAGGTTATATTACATTACATTGTTTTTTGTGATACTGTTTTATACTGTATATATATATATATACATACATGGAGCCTCTGGGTCATGCTTTGAGTAGGGTTGGCTTACATTAAGGAACCCTAAGCAAAGCTATGACTAAATCCTGCCTAAATGCAAAGCTATGCCTAAATCCGATAAACCCTAACACACCCGGACCCGAACACTAAACCCTACCCCGTAAAACCCAAACCCCTAAAGCCCCTCCCAAATAAAAAACGAAAACCCCTAAACCCCTAAACCCCAAACCCAAAACACCCTAAAACCCTAAAGCCCGAACCCTAAACCCAAAAAGCCCTAAAACCCTAAAGCCCGAAAGCTTAAGGGACCCGGTTAGGTGCGCCTTCGTCGCCTCCAGATGAACCTGATCCCGGACCTCGTGCACAGATCTGGTTCAAGCTTCCCCGGAGGGTCCGAGTAACCAAAGAGTAGGGGAATTTCATACTCTGAGCGGTTTGTGGCAAGTAGAGTCCCCTAAACCCTAAACCCTAGACCTGGCTCCTTGGACTCTCAGGGTCCTAATTGACCCTAAACTATTCCAAACCCTGAACCAATGTTAAGCCAAAATTTCGCCAATCGACCCCAATGTTGTCCCACAATTTCCTCAATCGATTGTCCCAAAACTCCGTCAATCGACCAATGTTGTCCCAAATTTTCTGGCTGTAGGGTTTAGGATTAAGGGTTCAGGGCTGTGGGCTGGCCATAGGGTTTAGGATTTAGGGCTCAGGGTTGGGGATGATGAAGTTCAGGCAGTTGAAGTCTCGCATGCGTGCGCACGGACCTGAGCCATGTCAACAGCGGCTATTTCAGGTGTCGATCCGAATTTAGTCGGGTTTAGGGTTTAGGGTTTAGGGTTTAGGGTTTAGGGTGGCTTCTCGTGGGCTGGCGAGCCTGAGCCTCAGCGCTTCTGTGTGGGGCGTGGTGAATCTGGCCATTAGGGTTTAGGGTTTAGGGTTTAGGGTTTAGGGTTTAGGGTTTAGGGTTTAGGGTTTAGGGTTTAGGGTTTCCTGGCAGAGAGCAAAGAGAGCACGGCATGCTTTGGTGATCGAAGCATGCTTGCTTTCTTTGCCTCGGGCTCGCCCAACGTCTGAAACGGTCTCACCTGAAAGCGACGCGTTGATGTATTTCGCGTGCTGCAGGTGGCTCATGTTCCACACCTTGAAGAAATAGTGGGGACCGCCCTGTGCAAACCGTGCACTCGCCCACACCTGGCTTCTCCAGGCAGTGTGAGTTTGTGGCATGCATGCGCCAGCTGCAAGGTGCTGGCACTAATATACCCTACATGCCCACTATTAAGGACCAGTAGGGCCCTAAACCCTAAACCCAAGGGCTCCATTCAAGGGCCCGTAGGGGCGTCCTGGTAGGGTTTAGGGTGAGGGACCAAAATCCTGAACCAAAAAATCACACCCTGAACCCTTTCATAGGCAAACCCGTTTAGGGTTTAGGGTAAACAACTGAACCCTCGAATCCGTATGGAACCCTTTTAGACCCTACCTGGAGCCCTCTCCGCTGTCGGTTTTCTAGGCCCGCTTAGAAACAGCCCCTACGCTTAGATATGATCAATAACGCCTAGATTCCCCTAAGCCTGCTGGCTCATACAGGTTGGAGTCGCTTCTGGGCCAAGGCAACTGCTCTGGGAGGCCCAGCATAACACATGTGCATTAGCACCGTATGCTTGAAAACACTTACATTACATATCTACCTATAGATATCTATATACCCTCTCATCTAGCTACCATCTGTTGTTCTATCTCTATCCAACTGTCCACCTTTATCCATCTACATCTACATATAGATATCAACTGCACACCCTTATGTACTTCACCAGACATACTTTGAACCACCCTAAGCCCTAAGCCCACCCTAAGCCCTATGAAGCCCTAGATAGCCGAGCGGAGACCGAGTGATCGAGATGGTTCCGCGGGAGCCATGTCCTCACAGGCGGTGCGCCCACCCGTGCAAAGTTTGTCTGTGATGGGGGCTTTGGTTTAAAGACTGCAAGTGATATGCTGTGTTGCTCTTTGGCTTCAGCTTTTTCAGCTGGGAAGTATGCTTAGGAAACCATTCAGGGCATTCGGAACATGTTGCAAGATAGGGCCTTCTAGGATTCTAGGACTATATATAGGATGCCTCGCAAAACGTTTCCCGATGGCAAGCCTTGCTCCAATGAGGAGTGTGCGAGATTGGCTGACTTGTGGGATCATTACACGGAGCTTCGGGCCAGGGCTGCAAAGGGCCAAAGGCTTGTGCAAGATAGGAAGGGTGCAGCTGAGACTTGTTTGCCGAACCTTGAGAACATCAGCCACAACTATTTAATCCTCAAAGAGATTGTGGCACTCATGAGCGCTCGCGATCGGTTGTCAGCCGACCCTGCCGAAGCCATTGCTAAAATGTTTGTTGGCTGGTACAAGAAGCACCAGGTCTACTTCCAGAACAACGAAAAGCATGATGCCGTGGCTTGGGGTTTTAAGGATGGCTGGGTCGTGCACAAGATGTTTACACTGCTTCGTCCCAAAGTCATGCGCGGAGAACAACCCCGAGAACCTCGACTTAACCCAACCCGATTATGTTGAAGATGTCAGTGTGTTATTTCTTATGCACTGCTTGATGTCATTTAGAAGAACAGACCCACCTTCTCAACAAAAGAGATCTAAGGATGAGAAGGTGAAGCAGTTGTGGAAAATGCTCATAGATGTGAAGAGGAGACAGAAGGCATGTATTTGTTGAAATTCTCATGTGGTAACTTGCTGCTACTATGCATGAAGCCAGCACTTATTCAAATATAGCATCCACCCATGCAGGCAGCAGCCCTAGAAGATGGGGCTCCTGTCGACGAGGACGAGTATGCTGACCCCGACGATGCCGAGGATGAGCCGGTGAGCCCAAGTGGTCCTGGTGAGGATCATGGGGCTGAGGCTCTTCATGATGATCATGGGGCTGAGGCTCTTGATCAGAATCAGGGGGCTGAGGCTCTTGATGAGAATCATGGGGCTGAGGCTCTTGATGAGGATCATGGGGCTGAGGCTCTTGATGAGGGTCATGGGGCTAAGGTGATTCATCGGGCAAGCTTGACAAGGGAGGAGAAGCTTGCTTTGGATAGTGCCGAGGCAGGCTATCGCCTGGCCCATACAACCTCCGAGGCTTGGACCGATGAGCACTTTCCCACCAGCCCGCCTGAGGATCCTGATCCTTTAGCTTCACTTGGCCTACGAACTCAGGAGACCCTTTTGGATGATGAGCTTGATGATCTAGATGGTGCTGTGTGCACGATTGAATCAAGCCCTGAAGTGGTAGCTACATCCTCATCGGCTGGGTCCTCTACAATTGCCCGTCGCCCCCACATTCCTTCGAAGACCTGGAACTCCGCTGTGTCATCTATGTCATCGAGGCTTTCTAATGAACAGAAGGCAAGGTTCTTAGAGGCCTGCAAGTCGAAGCTGAACGCGCTCAACCCCGGTACCACGCCCTTGACATCAACGTGGGGTGTTGCCAAAGTGCTTTGGGGGTTATGTTTGGGCTGGCTCATGGTAGGTTAGAGTCGGTTAGAGCCTTCATATCTTCATCCAAGTCAGGCCCTTCTTAAGTATGGCTTGTACTTAGTTTCAGAGGTAATGAAGCATAATCCCGGAGCCCCTGCAGGATTCTGCCTGGCCTGAGCTCTGCTGCGACAGCAGCAGCATCTGGGCATGGAGGGTCTGCACCTTTGGTTGCTGCATCACCGGCAAACACCCTCTACTATGGTGAAGGCAAATCGGTTTCATCTTATCCTCCCTAAAAGGGCCTGGGCTTTGAGTTCAATAATAAGGTATTGGGGGCTTGACTGGGGAAAGTTAATAGTCTCTCTGTCTCTATAGATATGTAACAGATAAGACTAAGATTATTATGTTTATTATCGGTTTTCTTTGACTCCAGCAAGCCTTGTATGTAGATTAACTGTATGTACACTTCTTAGACATCCAAAAAACCATTGTGTGAGTGGCCTTGTTTCTGCATGCAGTTTGGGTGACATGTAATTGCTTAAGCCACTTTGCAGGCTTTGGCTCCCACATGCCAAAGAACCCCGACCAGGAGGATACGTATGTGCCGGAGAACAGCCCTGTCTTCCATGAGGCAATGGTTTCCCTGCAAAGGGAGGATGTGCCAGAGAACAAGCAGGCAATGGTGGCAACCGAAGGGGAAGGGGATGTGCCAGAGAACAGCCGTGACCTCAAGCAAGCAATGGTGGCAACCGAAGGGGATGTGCTAGAGAACAGCCCTGACCTCAAGCAAGCAATGGTGGCAACCGAAGGGGAAGCAGCAGAAGCTGAAGCTCCCATGGCATCTGTGATGGATGAGTCGGTGTCGCCTTTTGAGGCAATGACATAGTACAATAAGATGTACATGAGGTTTTATGAAGCTTTGCAACCTGGGCATGAATAAACACTTAATTAAGAAGCTAGTCCTCTTAGGATTTATAAATATATGTGGGAAACCCTGATTCTAGGACCCTGTGACAAAAGATGATCAGATGCGATTGGTTCTTGAAGCCCGAAAAAAAAAGAAAGCAAAGGCTGCCGCAAAGGCCATTGCAGCCAATGGCAAGAAGCAGTCTGTGGAAGATGACGAGGCTCCCCAGGCTGCCAGGAAGCCCGGACGCAAGCCCAGGAAAGCCGATCAAGAGGAAGCTGTGCCGGCTGCCAAGGCTAAGCCAGCTAAGTCAGGACCCAAGTCCAAAAAAGCCCGCCGAGACAACGACGACGAAACGAAGCCCAAGGGCAAGCGAGGACCAAAGAAAGCTGCTGAGAAGGAGGAACCCAAGGCCAAGAAGTCCAAGGCAGAAGGTGCCAACGAGCAGGATCCGAAGTCCAAGCGAAAGCACGAACCCAAGTCCAAGGAAGCAGCTGCCAACGATCAGGAACCCGAGCCCAAGCGCAAGCCAGAACCCAAGTCCCAGGAAGCAGCTACCGACAAACAGGAACCCAAGCCGAAAGCAAAGGCTAAGGCAAAGGCCAAGAGTGGAGCCATGAAGAAGCCAGCAGCTTTCAGGCCAGCACAGCAGGAAGGTGATGAGGGGGTAGTGCCTCCCGACGGTGCGAATGACCAGGGAGATGAGCTGCCCCACACATTTGCAAGGCGACCGATGCCCACCGGTGCCCATGGCCTCAACAAGTATCGTCGCATTGTGGGGGCATTCAAGGAGCTTGTGGAACCAAAATTGAAGAGTCGCCAGAGGTCTGCGGCCGAGGACCATGTTGGGCCTTAAGATACTTTAACCAAGCTTAAGTTAGGGTTAGCACAGCTACAGGTTCTAAGTGATAAATAGCTTAGGCTTAGGCAGCTTCTTAGTTGCTAGAGGACTTTGGTATGTTAGTGACCTTTAGGATTTATTTGTTTAGCACCTTTTTGGCGAAACTTCCATAGAAAGTCTAGATCGAGTCTAGTAGGGAATACCAGTGTATATCATATACAGACCACCTGTAGTGACATGATATAAAAAGCCAGGGTAGTGTTTTTCAGATTAGAGCATCACCCAAAGATCCCAAACCCTACTGCAGTACAAGTTCTTCGACTTGGTGCAAACGAGATGCAGAGCCTGGACAAAGTTCGAGACCGACCCTTGGGGGTATATCGAGGAGGCAACCTTCCAGTTTCTGCAGACGTGACTAAGCCGAAGACAAACATGTATGTGCTCAATCCTCCTTCTAGGTTCTTTTGCCAGCCTAGCCTACATATAACCCTCCCTAAAAACCCTGTGGCCCCATGATGCCTATGTATAGATGTATGTTAAACAATTAAAAACCTTAGAAGCCCTAAGAAGGAACAGCCAATCAACCAAGGCTTTCCGAGGATGGTGCACTTCCCGGAGTGGCTTGAGCAACCACGCCATCGTCTGGAGCCTGTGCCGGCTGACAGCTAGGGTGGGTCTAAGAGGGCTTTGGATTACTTTGGGTGCATGAAAGCACTCTACGACTTCATGCAGGGGTGGTAACCATCCCTTCAAAGATCTGCTACATGTTTGCTGAATCAAGATTCAGACAGGGTGAGATTTTGAGCACAGTTCCATTGACCTGCCTGGTCGGGCCATGTCACTTTGTGGTTAACATAGGCTCTAAGCTAAATCTGGAAACCCGGTACATAGATTATTGGGTGACTTCGAATTTAGTTGATGGGTTATAGTTTAATCCTGGGTAACCTTGGAGTCCTGGACCCTCTAGGTGGGTTGAACATGATATGGCAGTTAGGTGGACTACCCAATACGTTCATTCCCCCTGGCATGACATATCCGACTTTAGCTCCATCAAACTTATACACATTGATGATGCAAACCTGCCAAACCCTAGAATCCCATGCTTCCATCTGCACCCTGTCTCTACTCATAGGCAGCATATCTGTAAACCTACATGTAGTCTCACCTATGTATGTGAGGCCCACTACAGAATGACAGGCTAGAGTCCTATGTTGTTTCCGAGCACTCTATATGGAGCCCCGTCAATGCAAGCTAGGCCCTGTAGAAGCAATGAATGTACCAAGCATATATGTATATACATAAGGGCATTAAGTCTTACCATGTACACATATATGTATGTATGTAT